GGGTCCCCACAGCCAATTGGCCAGGAGGTCAATTCTTCCCAGTGACACCAACAATAATCAAGACTTAACTACAACAAGGCTGTACACACAGTCCACAAAGGGGTGCACCAAGTGTGTCCACATCAGGCAACTGGGAGGCTGACCCATTGAACCATATAGGCCCACAAAGCTACTCTACCAACTCAGGGAAGTAGCAAAAATGCCAAGAAAAGGAAAGAGATCTCAAACAAAAGAAATGGAGGACAACAAAAGACTGGATATAGAGTTCAAAACCATGGTTATAAGGTTTTTCAAGAATTTTTTAGAAAAGGCTGATAAATTTAACGTGACCCTGGAGGATATGAGAAAGGACCAACTAGAAATTAAACATACACTGACTGAAATAAAAAAATATTATACAGAGACTCAACAGCAGACTAGAAGAACACAAGAATCAAGTAAAAGATTTGGAATTCAAAGAGGCAAAAGACATTCTTCCAGAGAAGCAAGAAGATAAGAGAATCCAGAAAATTGAAGAAGCCTCTGGGACAACTTCAAACGTACCAACATCAGAATTATGAGGGTGCCAGAAGAGAGAGAGCAAGACACTGAAAACCTATTTGAAGAAATAATGATAGAAAACTTACCCCACCTGGTGAAAGAAATAGACTTACAAGTCCAGGAAGCACACAGAACCCCAAACAAAAGGAATCCAAAGAGGACCGCAAGACACATCATACCGTATTTTTCGGCTTATAAGACGACTTTTGAAACAAAAAAAAGTCAACCGAAAATCAGGGGCAAAAGACCAAAATTGCACAAAAATTACCTGCAGATCTTGATGGCAAAGTAAGTCTTTTCTTTGAAATGGGGGTAGTCTTATACAGCGAATATAGGCCTAAACCCATGTTTTAACTGTAAAATTACGGGGTCGTCTTATACGCCCGAAAATATGGGTAATTAAAATGCCAAGAGCAAAAGACAAAGAGAGAATATTAAAAGCAGCAAGAGAAAAACAGTTAGTTACACTACAAGGGAGCACCCATAGGATTATCAGCTGATTTCTCAACAGAAACTATGCAGGCCAGACAGGAGAGGCAAGAAATATTCAAAGTGATGAATAGCAAGAACCTACAACCTAGATTACTCTACCCAGCAAAGTTATCATTCAGAATTGAAGGGCAGATAAAAAGCTTCACAGATCAGAAATAGCTAAAGGAGTTCATCACTGCCAAACCAGTATTATATGAAATGCTAAAAGATATTCTTTAAAAAGAAGGAAAAGGGAATGCTCAGGCCCTTCTCAAGAAGGCAAATAATCAATTCCACTAATACACCCATGGTAAATAAGATTGTTGCTAAAGTGTTGAGTTTGACAGGTGAATAGTAGCCAATTTCTCAGAGAAAATTAATGTGGCTAATGAAAATAAATGAATATTCTAGAAAAACTGATTGTACTGTACAAAAAGCTTTTCCTAAAGTGTTAATTAAAATTCTTATTGGCAGAGCATCTAATGGTAAAATTGTACAACATGTTATGAACCTAAAGCAGTCATAGTGTAACACAAATAATTAAAATGTAAAAGCTGCCAAGACTATATCATAAAATTTCCAAAAGTCTCACATTATTTAAATTAAAAAGGGGGTGACAGTGAAAGAATATCATGTAAGGAAAAATATCCTGAGAATAATTTACATCTAAAAATTTGTACTTTAGAAAATTAACCTTCATTCGAAACGCTAACAGCAAGATACCCATGGAAATACATTCATGGTGTCAAAACAAGCCAGAGGAAAATTACTTGGGGGGCGGGGGGCGGGGGGCTGGAGAATGTAAAAGAATCCCAAGTCAAATTTAAAGAAAATATCCCTTTATTAACTTTTGGTGGAGAATATGTTTGTTTATTTTCAGAAAACAACTTCGAGACCATCTGGAATCCTGTAACAGAGAGGAATAGAAGTGCTCCAGCCATGAAGACAGAAGAGACACAATTAAGAGATGGAAGTTGCTGATGACACCTCACCATACCAGCAGACAGCAGATGTGTGTTGCTGAAGGATGCCCAAGACCAAACCAGAGACAGTCGGACCTGCATCACCACCATTTGTCCACCAACCAGATCTGAAACATCATGGCTGACATGTACACATAAGGAACTGTTTGACATTGAAATTGGGACTCAAAAGAACTGTTGGCCCAGAAAAGAACTCACTACAAACTGATTCATTTGCCTCTCAGCATAACCATTATGGCTTGTCGCAGTTTCGGTTCTCACAAGGGCATTTCTTGGATCACATGATCTCACACATCTAGAGGAAATAATGAACAACATAAACTGATGAACAAAAACAGACCCAGAAACAGAAAAGCAGCGATCAGACTCTCAAAGCTCAGAGGGAAAGTAGGGGAGGGTGGGGGTAAGGGAAAGAGATCAACCAGAGGACTTGTGTGCATGCATATGGGCCTAGCCAGTGGCCATGGACAACAGGGAGGTGGGGGCACATGTAGGGAGGGGTTTGGGATGGGAATGGGGGGATGAGGACAATTATGTGATACCATAATCAATTTTTAAAATAAAATAAAATAAATTCACCCTTTAAAAAAAAAGAGGAAAAAGAAGAAAAAAGTAAAGATAAAAATTATGAACAACAAATACATATCTATGAACAAATGAATCTAAAAGCCAAGTGAATTAAAAATCTGAGGAACAGAATAAACTGGTGAATATAATAGAATCAGGGGCATAGAATGTGAGGGGACTGATAATTCTCAGGGGGAAAGGGGTGTCTGTGTGAGGTATGGGAAGAGCCTGAACAAAAATCATATATCTATGGATGAGGACAGCGGGGGAAGGGGAGGTAAAGGCAGAGGGTGGAGTGGGGACCAGGGGGAGGGGAACTGTAGGGGGCGAGGGGAGAGGAGGAGAAACAACTGTAATAATCTGAACAATAAAGATTTATTTTAAATAAATACCATCCTAATGGTAATTAAAAAAATTTTAAATATAAATTTAAAAAAAATAAAATGAATGCATAGCCATGGACCCAGACAAGGTAATAGGGGGAATGGAGGCATGGCGAAGGTAGGTAAAGGGAGGAACTGGGGGACACCTGCAATAGTATTAACAAGATAAAATTTAAATTAAAAATTTTTAAAGAATAGGCAAGAGAAAAGGAAACTACAGAAGGAAGAGCAGAACTCTCAAAAAAATATTCCAGAAGAAGGCATTGTTATCACAGTATATGACTTTTCCATGTGTTATTGCCCCTGAAGACCTTCAAGTGGAACAAGATGTAAATATGAAAGTGATATTGATTATCCTAACCCTCTGTAGGTGTAGGCTAATGTGTATGTTTGTGTTTTGGTTTATTATTGTAATCTTCCCCTGAGGACATGTTCATTGACCTTTAGAAAGGGGAGAGAGAGGGAGGGAGAGGAGAGAGAAACATTGATCATATGTCCCAGTTTTAAAAAAAAAATTAAAAAGTAAAAATTTTTAAATTAAATAGAAAAATCCTTATAGAATAAGGATATAAAGAGAAAATATTTTTATACAGCTATATAATGTGTTTAAACTAAGTGATAATACAAGGGTCAGCATTTTACAATTTTTAAATGTTTAAATAAAAAAGTTATAGTAAGTTAAGTTTACTTTATTACTAAAAAAATAAAATGCTTTTTATAAATTTAGCATAGCCTAAGTGTATATAATTTATAGAGTCTAAAGGTATATAAAGTGAGATGCTGGGCCTTTACACTTACACATCACTGACTCGCCCAAAACAACTTCTAGTCCTCTAAGCTCCATTTAACATAGAGCTGCATGTAGGTGGCCGATACGTTACAACTGCCTGCAGCATTCATGCAGCATGCTGTACAGGTTAGTGTCCTAGGAGCAATGGACTCTAGCATATGGCAGGCTATGCCACCTAGGTTTGCGCACTCATTGACGTTCACACAATGACAAGATTGCTTAATGACACACTGCTCAGAATAGATACATCCCTGTCAATAAGTGATGCATAACTATATAATGAATATAGACAATAGTAATTTACTGTAATGGTGAATTGTGATAAATATTGCTACATCATCCATAATTACAGTACATAAATGTACCAAAGTAACATGCTTATAACTTACATAATGTTACATGTCAAATGTATTCCCTAAAAAAAATATCACCTCACACACACTTGGATGGCTGTAATAAAAAATGGAAAGTATTGCCGGGACCAGTTTGGCTCACTGGATGGAGCGTCGGCCTGCGGACTGAAAGGTCCCGGGTTCGATTCTGGGCAAGGGCATGTACATTAGTTGCGGGCACATCCCCAGTGGGGAGTGTGCAGGAGGCAGCTGGTCGATGATTCTCTTTCATTGATGTTTCTAACTCTCTATCCCTCTCTCTTTCTCTCTGTGAAAAATCAATAAAATATATATTTTTTTAAATGGAAAGTATTAAAGGTTCGGTGAGGGTATGAAGAAATAGCTACTCTCATTTATTTCTGGTAGGAATATAATATGTTGCATCTGCTGTGGAAAAGTTTGGTGATTCCTCAAAAAGCTAAGCATATAATTACCCTTTGACCCAGCAACTCTATTCCTGAGTATAAAACCCCAAACTCCAAAACAAGTACTTAAATAAGAGTTTTAAGGATATTCTGCATGGCATATAATAATGGTTAGATATGTCATAAATACCTTTATTTTGCTTGCTTTATTTAGTTACTAAACATTCTTCTCACAAAGGCTAGGCCTTTGACATTTATTATGTAGTAAGGTGATCTCCTGTCAAGACTGGTAAAAAGTAGAGAGAAATTATTGGCAGACAAACTTTCATAATACCTATAAGTATCAGGGAAGATCAAATAAGACAAAGAGGGTATTACGAGAATTACTACCTGTGTTCCATACTTCTCTAGATCTAACTAAAATGCACTTTGAATCTGTATTAACACTTGGTGTCATCTTAAACTTTCATCACTTTTAAAAGTAAAGCTGTCTCTTTTATTATCCTCAGTTACTGAGAACAGTATCTATAGTTTTGAAGATCATGGGATTGCACAGTTTTTGATTTCATTGGCTGTCCTGGGCTTATTTTATCTCATCTTGCTTTTTTGTCTGGAGACTACATCCTGGAGATTGAATAACTTTATCTCTCAAAAAATTTTGTCTAAAGTGTACAGCATATTCGTGAAAGGCAAGAAGGTGAGTAATATAGACTTTTGATACAACTCAAGAAGGCTCAATGTTAAGCCAGAAAATATTAATTTGCATATTTCTATTTCTATTATTTGATGAAAGTATCATTTAATTATGCCAAGGTACTAATTGGAATTACAACTCTTTCATCTTAATTTGTATCTTAGGCTCTAAGCTTTGACTCTTCTACCAACCAGGAAATAATTTATTTGTAATGGATTGACTATGATAGAAAGCACATGGACATGTACTACCTTTAGATGTATTTGGTTACAGTTATGAACTGACTTTAAAACCATGTAGGGTTATAGGACATCATAGCCCCTACTTGTCAAATTATTAATTATTGCTGTAAATAACACTCACAATTTCACATAGCCCCAGAGTTTTGTCTAGAATTTATATATATACATATATTTATATATATTTATAATGGTCAGTTGTTCTGTAATTTAATTTAATCCCTACTGGTTTATATGAGAATTTCTGTTGAGGCAGAAAAACCACTACATCTGTCTCTTTGTAACTTCTCTTCATTCATCCCAATTCTCTATCTAGGTGGCTCTAGATTTGCCCATAATGCTCTCTGAATCAGTATATCTCTATTATTTCAGAGGGAGGATATCTTGAGACCATAATGGCCTTTGCTACCAACTGGAGTCATGACTAGTATGATTAGCATTCCACCTGTATTTCAGTTGCCTGTTATGTGTTGCTAACTAACGACTAGAACTATATAACAAGTCAAAAGTGCTATTCTACCTACTTTTACACCAAAGCTCATCATATCTTACTACTGTAAACAAGATACCTGGTCTAAGATATGCCAACAAGAATAAATTTAAGGTCTTGAGCAACATGAAAAAGAAAGGATTTATTTCCTGGTGCTTAGAATTAAACATCTGAATGTTACCTTGAGTCTTTTTCCTGGCCTGACTTTCCTAAGCCTGAACAGTAGCCCCTGAACCATGTCACACTTTAGAAGTAAATGTGATAAAAAGAAATATAATGAGTATGGAGGGAGATTCATGGTAAAATTAGAAGAATAGTTGCCTTCTAAATTCTTCCCCTTCTTGTCATTACTCCTATATACAGAAGAAAACATGGCCAAGCAAAGCAATAATACTCATACTGGGCCAAGGCCTCAAACAGTTATCTAATAAACTATTATAGTCTGGTTAGCTGCGGTATCCTTACATCAAAGTAAACTGAATTTCCTAAGCCAAAGATTCAATCTCATTTTTTAACATTCAAAGTAAGAAAAAGTCACCCCTGCCAATGAAAAGTACAAAATAGCTCATGAATTATAAAAAGTGAAAATCTGACATCTTCACCGACAGATGCTTCTTTCCTCCCTGGGAGCACCTCACACCGCTGCCCTCGGACTCCGCTGCCCCTGTGACACGGAGCCCAGGTTTCATGAGGAGCTGGCTGTTCATCTTGTTGATCACTTTGTGTTTAAACTATTTGGAATTCATTTAAATTATTGGATGTATAGATTAATGTTTTTCAAGAAATTTAATCAATTTTGGGGCACTATTTTCTCACATATTTCCATTACATAAGTAAGGTCATAATAGATTGGTTTCATACAGTTATTAAGAAGGTTAATTGCCTGTGAAGGGCACATGTCCAGCACATAAGAAATAATAAATGTTGGGTTTTAGTAGGAGCATTATTGTTGCTTATTAACATCTTTAGTCTCCTCTTCTTCCACTGCCACAAGACCTCCCAATGTTCCCTATTTCAATAACTAACACCATCAATTATATATTTTGTTGAAGAGAGAAATCTTGAGACTTATCCTTAACTTCTTTTTTAAATTTCATCCCTAATCTGATCTATCTAAAATGCATTTACATGTCTTTCACTTTGTTTCAAAAGGACTTCTTGGTACTTTATGCAAGGATCGAACATGTTCTCTGGTGGCTGCTATCTATGTCCCAGAAAATCAAAGGCAGTGTGCACTACACAGACCCCCCTTCAGTGGAGCTGGTGTCCCTGCTTCTCAATTTGGCCATAATGCTCTCTGTCCTAGGACACCTTCATCTGTCACTGTCTCCACAGACATTTTTGTGGCCGAGAGCTCCTCTCCCAGGCAATCCCCTTCCCAGATAGCCTGCATCCAGCCACTCACAGATGCAGAAGTAAAGTATTTGCTCATCTCAGTGCCACTGAGACAACTGCAGGCCTTCCCATGGGGTCCACTGAGGATGTCATTTGACCTTCATCATAGCTCGATTTCTATCCTTTCCTACTCCTAGGTTTTTTTCTCCTTTCCACAGGTGTTGGTACCAAAGGAAGTCCACCTGCAACAATTAGTACCAGGAGAGATTTGAGAAAATCCACAGTCAGTAGGATTTTAGTGAAACCCACATCACTGGTGGTAAAGGAAAAACAATAGCCGCTGGCACAAAATAATGGTCCAGTTGTAAAAATGTTTATCTGTTTTGATTGGGACGATATACCAGAGGAACAGAAAGCATCACTGATGCTTTAAATCAAGTATTCTTTAAAAATGGGGGGGGGGGGGGGGGAAATAGCAACTGAAAGAGCAATGGGAGTGTGGGTTATTGGTAAGCTCCTTACTACATAGAATGAAAAGCTGAGAATTATTAATAGGAAATTGAAAGCTAAGTGTGGAAGTGCAAGAGCCTCCTTGGTCCCACTTCCTGCAGTGAAAGGACAGAGAAAGCTGAGTGTCAACATCAAGGTTTCACCTTCGGGTTAGATGAGCACCAGGAGGCTCTCAGCCAGGGCAGATCTGCTCTGCCAAGACCACCCCTCTTGTGAGAAGAGTGGTGCCCTCCTCCTTGGCGACATCTGAGCCAATGACCCTGCCATCTCAAATCCTCAGACTTTCCTGAGCACTCTGAGTTTACAGACCCACGTGGCACCCTCTTCTCAATTAGGAACTCCCTCTACTTCCTCAGATAAAGAAAATATAAGGGCCTCTGCTTCAAAACAGCATATGCTCATTCAGTTGTGGTAGTAACCAGCCAACTACTCCTTTAATGATCAATAGAACACAGAGACAGAAAATTAATAAAAGAACTGCCATCTACTAACTGGATCTAACTGGCACTTAGAGAGCATGCACACAAGAAGGGCAGGACACATGGAACGTTCACCAAGACACACCATTCACAATTTTAAGAGATTTAAAATATTGAAGGGTGTGTTTTCTGATCATCATGAAATTTAATAACAGAAATATAACAGGGAAATCTCTACAAACATTGGGAAATTAAGCAGCACACTTCTCTCAAACCCATCAGTCAAGGTGGAAGTGACAGAAGAAATTAGAAAATATTTTTAACTAAATGAAAGTAAAATACAACGTATCAAAACCTGTAGGTACACCTAAAGCAGTGTTTCATTTGTAGTATTAAATACTTACATTAGAAATGGGAAAAAGTCCCAGTTCAATAATTGAAGTTTGTATCTCAATAAATTAGGAAAAAAGAGCAAAATAAACTCAGAGAAAAATCATTTAGCTTTACAAAAATAAGAAAAGAAATAAATGAAACTGCAAACAGAAACATAATGAAGAAAATTCAGTGAACAGAGCCAATAGCTAATTCTTTGAAAAATGTTTAAAAGTGATAAGCCTCCAGCCAGAGTGACCATAAATTAAAAATAGGCAACACACACTAACTAACCAATGTAACGGCAACATGAAAGTGCATAGTTTAAAACCTCCACACACACGAAAAACACCACGCCAGGACAATTTCACTGATAAATTCTACCAAAAAATTAAAGAAATAGCATCAATTCTTATAAAGTACACCATAGGCAATAATTATACATGGTGCCAGGTGGGTACTGGAAATAACAAGGTAATGCTTTGTAAAGTATATGATTGGTTAACCATTCTCCTGTACCCTAATAGAAACTAATATTGAATGTAAACTGTAATTGAAAAATAAAATTTAAAAAGCAAATAGCATCAATTCTACACAATTTCTTCCAGAATATAGAAGTAGGAGCATTTCCAATTCTATTTATGAAACTATTATTACACTTGATACCAAAATCAGAAAAAAGTACAAGAAACCAGTATCACTTGTGAACACAGAAACACAAATTATCAACAAAATATTCACAGATAGAATCCAGGAATATGTAGAAAGAATAATACACCACGGACAAGTAGGGTTTATTTCATAAATGTAACAAAGCTAGTTTAATATTTGAAAATCAGTGTTACCCATGAATTAATTAATGTCAAGAAAAACCACCTGCTTATATCCACATTTCACACTCATATACATAAAAAGTGTCAGAAACTAGGGAAAGAAAAGAGCCATCGCAGCCTGGTCGGCAGCATCTGCTTATATATAGAAAGCCTACAGCCAACACAATGGCGGAGTCTGAACACGGAGCAGGGATGTTCACTTACCACTCTGACACAACCAATTTTAAAATTGGAAAAAGCACTCTTCTCGTTCTTTTGGTTATCATGTTTACTGAGCTGATTATATTATCCAGCTCCACGCCTTATCCAATGAGTGGAGCTAGATAATATAACGAGTACTTGATGTAAAAATAGGCAATTCAAATCAACAAACTTTTGCTCAAGCAGTATGAATTACTAACCACAGTGTTACCAGACTGGCTGGCCTGTAGCGTGTGGGTTCTTGACTTCACATAGGGAAGATTTCACACCGTGAGTCCAGCTGGGTCTGAGTGTGTTTCTTAAAGCGAGGGACAGTGAAGGAAAGGAAGGGATCAGGGTGGAAGCAGCAGCAGCCGAGCACCTAGGCAGCGGTTTCAGCTCTCCAGAAACGTTATTCCGGCTCATTCCTAGGGAGCCGGTCAGCAGTGATGGGAGTGAGCCTGGGCAGGGCTGCTGGCTCCCGGGGAGGTCGGAGAAAGGGGGGCCTTGGAGATAGGACCAGGGAGTGAGCCTGGGCAGGGCTGCTGGCTCCCTGGGAGGTCGGAGAAAGGGGGGCCTTGGAGATAGGACCAGGGAGTGAGCCTGGGTGGAGTTGCCACTGCCCGGGGCTCCCCTGATTGTGAGTCTCGTGGGGGCCCTTAGAAATAACAAGTTCGTGCCTGGGAAAGGGCATGATCAAGTTCTAGAGTGAGCCTGTGTCCTGAGGGCTTATCCTGGGGGCTTTTTATCCTTTTTTTCTTCAAGTAAAAATCTTAGAGGAGGGTTCTAGCAGAATATTCATCAGCTTTCCAAATGCATTTTTAATATGCTAATGCATCAAAATGAGTGTAGATGGGAGTTTTGGATTATTCTTTGGTCTACTTTACTTCTCTTTGGTCTGTTTGGCTTTAATGGTTTTTTTGTTACTTGTTACATCATCTGACCCTGAATTTAGCTGGCACACACACGCGTTAACAGTGGCTTTGTCCTCTCTTACCCAGGCCAGGGCAATTTAGGCTATGTATTCTCTGGTTAGTGACCGTTTGCTTTCCAGTGTCCTTGGTGAGAGAAGATAAGATCCTGCAATTCACAGACTGGCTATAAGTTGTCCAAACTGTTTAACCTTATTTAATTTTCTTGTCTCACTTTACCCATTCCACTTGCCCAGGAATTTTCCTAATTCTTATTCTTCTGCTACTACGAGACGCACTGAATTATTTCATTCCTGCATCTTTTACTAAGTTCCCATTGCTGATGGTGGCCTTCCTTCTTATACTCACACTGTGTTCACTCTCTCCATAATTCTTCATATTCAACTCAGCCTTCACTCAAAAAGAAAGAGGCCATTTTCTCCTCTCTTGGTTCCCAAAGTCTCATGAACAGATTTTAGTTGTAACAAATGGTACTAAACAATAACAGTATTGATGAGGTTTTTGTTTTTCATGATGTGTCCATTTTACTGGCAAGAACATGCTGCTTCCTCTCAGTGGTAGAAAAACTTGTTCATTTTATAGTTTCCAAAAGTAAGCAAATCAAGAATAAATTTGTTCATAAGAATTTAGGAAATTGGTAGGAAAGCTATTGAAAATTAGTCCAATATTTTCCGGCATCTTTGAAATTACTCCTTCAAGTCAGCTTTCAAAATGCCACTCAGCTTATACAAGGTCTCTAAAATGTATACGTCTGTGATCCTTGTTTTGAAAAAAATAGGCTGTAGTGTCCACGCGTGTAGCCAACGAATATGTGGATAAAAATGTAGAAAATGAAAGGAAGAAAGTCTTGGCACAAATTTCTAAATTGAAGAAAAGCCCACTGCTTCTCAAAGAACTTGTGAAGGTAAAGTCATTCAATGACAATATTTCCCTGAGCTTTGTCACTGCCAAGAATGTATTGCACTAACTTACTGGGCTGCTGTGGGGTCTGTGCACATCCTGGTCAAACAGGTGGCTGGAAGGGAAAATGCCCCTGGGCAACTGTCCGGAGGCAGCGATTATACTTATGGGTGACCCACACTCAGTGCTTCGGTACATTGTGGTTTTTTAATGTTTTCAGACTTATTATAAGTGTCCAGTTGTAAAGGCTATAAGAAATGTCTCCCTTGCCGTAAAAAGTTCTGAATGCATTGGATTACTTGGATTAAATGGAGCCGGAAAAACCAGTATATTGAAAATGTTAACTGGAGATGAGAGCATAAGCTCTGGAGCTATATTAATTGATGGCATTAGCATTGTTGAAAATATCAGAAAGGTAAGTGTGTTCCTAATCACTGTATTTTGCCCCAAGGGAGAGGTAACCAGGCAGGTGGTTGGGAGACATGGAAGGGAAGCTGGAAAAATTCAGATATATAAGATGAAAGATAAATACTAGATAGATAATACATACATATTTGACAAATAGGACAGAGATAGATAGAGATAAAGATGATAGATAGAGATAGAGGTAGAGATATAACTCCTAAGGCAATGGAAACAAAAGAGAAAATAAACAAATGGGACTACATCAAAATAAAAAGCTTCTGCACAGAAAAAAAAATCAACAAAACAACAAGAAAGCACACTGCATGGGAGAAAATATTTCTCAAAGTTATAACCGATAAGGGTTTAATCTCCAATATTTACAGGGAACTCATACAACTTAACAAAAGGAAGATAAACAACCCAATCAAAAAATGGGCTACGGACCTAAATAGAAACATTTCAAAACAAGACAGAAGGAAGGCCAAAAGCCATTTTGAAAACTTGCTCAAAGTCACTAATCATCTAAGAGATGCAAATCAAAACAACAGTGTGGTACCATCTCACAACTGTCAGAATCCTATCATCAACAAATGAACAAAGGACAAGTGCTGGTGAGGATGTGGAGAAAAAGGAACCCTCTTGCATTGCTGGTGGGAATGCAGACTGGTGCAGCCACTGTGGAGAACAGTATGGAGTTTCCTCAAATAATTAAATATGGAACTCCCATTTCACTCAGTGATCCCACTTCTAAGAATATATCCCAAGAATCAGAAATACCAATCAGAAAAGATATATGCACCCCTATGTTCATAGCAGCACAATTTCCAATAGCTAAGATTTGGAAACAGCCTAAGTGCCCATCAGCAGATGAGTGGATTCCATCTACACAATGGAATACTATGCTGTGGTAAAAGAAAATAATAATAATAATAATAATAATAATAATAATGAATTCTTACCATTTGCAACAGCATGGATAGACCTGGAGAGCATTATGCTAAGCGGAACAAGCCAGTCAGAGAAAGATAAATATCACATGGTCTCACTCATTTTATATAATGAACAACATAAACTGATAAGCAAAAACAGATCTAGAGTCAGAGAAGCATCCGATCAGACCATCAAACCTCAAAGGGAAGATAGGGAGGGCGGGGGTCAGGGGGTCAAAAGACTTGTAGACATGCATATAAGCCTAACCAATGGACACAGATGGGGGGGGAGGGTATGCGTGGGGGGTGGGGCAATGGGAGGATAAGGACACATATGTAATACCTTAATCAATAAAGAAAAAAAAAAGACATAGTTAAAAATGTTAGGTGCCCAAAAATATGGACTCAAAATATATAAAATGGAGGGGGAATTCAAGGGAAAACAGACAAATTCATGTTTGTAGTAGTAATTTATAAGCACGCTTCTCTCAATTTTATGAATCTTTTCAAAGGAACTGACCTTGATTGCATTAATTTTTTTGTATAGATTGTGTTCTCTGTTTCATTTAATTCTTCTCTAATTTTTATATTTCTTTTCTTCTGCTGACTTTGGGCTGCTTTTGTTCTTCTTTATATAGTTCAAGATGTAATGTTAGGTTGTTTACTTGAGGTTTTCCCTTGTTTCTTAAGTAGCCCTGTAATGATATAACTTCCCTCATATTACTGGGAGTGCTGCATCCCAAAAGTTTTGATGTATTATCGTTCTCATTTGTTTCAATGCAATATATAGATGATGTGTCATAAAACTGTACATTTTAAATCTATATCATTTTTAACCAATGTCACCCCAATAAATTAAATTTTTAAAAATTGAAATAAAAGTTTAAAATGAAAAATTATTCTCTCACTGTAATAGAAAATGGACTTTAACAATCATTACTGCTGAATTGCATGAGTTCTTTATATATTTTGGATATTACACCTTTGTGGGAGCTGGTTTTGCAAATATCTCCTCCCATTCTGTTGGTTGCCTTTGTGTTTTGTTGGCAGTTTCTTGTAATGTGCAGAAGCTTTTTAGTTTGATATAGTCCCATTCATTTATTTTTGCCTTTACTTCCTTGACTTTGGGAATGTTCTCTAATACCAAGGTCCAAAAATTTAGTACCTACATTTTCTTCCATGTAATTTATTGTTGAGCCCTTACATCTAGGTATATGATATATTTTGAATTAACTTTTGTACACTGATAAATTGTAGTCTCGTTTTATTTATTTTGGTGTGGAAGGGGGGTTGTTGATTTTTTTGTTTGTTTGTTTTTTGTGTGTTTTGTTTGTTTGTTTTTGCATGTGGCTTTCCAATTTTCGCAGCACCATTTATTGAAGAGACTTTCTTTTTTTCCATTTAATGTTTTGGCTCCTTTTTCAAAAATTTATTCATTGCGGCATTATTCACAGTGGCCAAGACACGGAGACAGAGTGTTTCAATGAATGATTAAGAAAAGAACATGTGGTATATTTTTACAATGGAATACTATTCACCCATAGGAAAAGGTGAAATATTGCCATTTGCAACAATATGAATGGACCTTGAAAAGATTATGTTACGTGAAATTAGTCAGAAAAAGCTAAGAACTGTATGATCTCACTCATACATGGGATATAAAACTGGAACTCATACACACAATTACCTGTTATTTTTTAAATAGAGCTTTATTTTTTTTTTAACAAGAGAAGATCAAACTTTAATATGTGCACATGTGCAATTCACATACGCATGAGAATTCCAAAGGCAGTGAGGCAACACTGAGTATATGAGACATTTTTGGACAAAGGAGAAGCAGAACGGACAGAACATTAGATTTCATAAGTGAGAATGTGCAATTACAGGTAGCTGAGGAAGAGTGGAACAAATGTGGGGGAGGGGGGGAATTCTTTCCTAGGCGACTCAGAAAAAATAGGAAGTGGGGGTGTTGAGCTAACAAGCACCTGCTTGTTTACCATATTTAATTCAAATTAAAGCAGCATTCCAAGATCTCTTTCCTGAAGCAGGTTTTCCTGTCTGAATCTCTCGGGCAGGAAAGGGGGGAGGTTCAAAGCCTCCTTTTGAGTCTTAATAAATACCTTACAATTAATATCCTAATAGAGCCACTCCAGGGTGGCAGAATTTTGTGGGGTTTCTTATTTTTTTACTTATTGGATAGCATCTATACTAAGGTGACCAGACGGGACAGTCCCGATTTTTAACAATTTGTCCCACATCCTGTGGCATTTTTAAAAAGTCTTGATTTTTGGAAAGATTCTTTTAAATCTTTTGGGCTTTTTTAAAACTCTGTGGGACGTGGGACAAATTGTTAAAAATCGGGACTGTCCCACCAAAAGCGGGACTTCTGGTCACCTTAATCTATACTAATAAAAGGGTAATACGCTAATTACACCAGACATCCTTCTGGACAAAGCCATGATGGCAGCCATGGTGGCAGGGGCCAAGGCGGAGGCAGTTAGGGGCAATCAGACCGGGGGGTGGGGGGCAGTTAGGGGGCGATCAGACTGACGGGAGGGCCAATTAGGGGGCGATCAGGCCAGTGTGGGGGGCACCTAGGGGGTGATCAGACCAGCAAAGGGGGGCACATAGGAAGTGATCAGGCCAGTAGGGGCAGGCAGTTAGGGGCAATCAGGCCTCTGGCAGAGGTGGTTAGGGGTGATCAGGCTGGCAGGGGAGCAGTTATGGGCATCAGGCCAGCAGGTAGAGGTGGTTAGGGGTGATCAGACAGACAGGAAGATGAGCAGTTAGGAGCCAGCGGTCCTGGATTGTGAGAGGGCTGTCTGACTGCCAGTAGGGCCTAAACTGGCAGTCAGACATCCCCTGGGGGATCCTGGATTGGAGAGGGTGCAGGCCGGACTGAGGAATCCACCCCACCCCACACACCACCCCCCCATGCATGAATATCATGCACCTGGTCTCTAGTTAGGTAATAAGATTAGGTAGTTTTAAAGTGTACACCATCTTATATTGCATTGTGTGTCAGTCTAGTGGTCAAGAGAATGGTCTCTGGGGCAAAAGTGGTAAAATTTTTGTACCTTCAGTCCCACTTTTAAAACTTTAAACAATTGAGCCTCACATTCTAGAAGAATGCTCCACATTTTATTGATTCAATCATTTAGTCATGAAAATAACTCAGTTAAGTTAAATTGTTGAGTCTCATTTCAGGCGATGACAATGTAGATGGACTCCCAAAGTGAGGCCTATATTATACAAGCAAGCAATCAGTGTTCAATAAGGGTATGTCCATAAAAACAAAGATTGGTCTTGACCAGTTTGGCTCAGTGGATAGAGCATTGGCCTGCAGACTGAAAGGTCCCAGATTCAATTCTGGTCAAGGGCATGTGCCTTGGTTGCAGGCACAGCCCCAGTAGGAGGTGTGAAGGAGGCAGCTGATCGATGTTTCTCTCACATTGATGTTTCTAACTCTCTATCCCTCTTCCTTTCTCTTTGGAAGGAATATCCAAAAAGTATATCAATAAAATATATATTTTTTAAAAAACAAAGATTGATGATCAGAGCAAATTATAAACCAGTTTCTGAGTCTGTAAGGCTTATAACTGAGAATTTTCTAGAGGTGAGGTTGAAAGCTTCTTTTGCTGCAATGAAGGCAGGCAGTGAGAATCAGATTGTTCTGTTTTGCAATTTGACTGTTTTGATGATGTCATCAGGTGCTCAGGAAAATTCTGCATGGCTTCCACAGCATCCATCACGGAGACTTCATGAACATGAGCTATTGGTGGTGATTTCTCAAGTTTATGTTGTGTCCTTTAGCTGTAATTTATTGTATGCAAGGCTCAAAACAATAAAAATTTTAGTCCTCAATAACTCCAAGCCAAAGGATGAAGAAAAAAAAAAGAAAAGTGTTCAAAGAGGTATAGCAAAATATTTATAAAATTAGAAAAAGTCAGAGTCTCATCAGTTTATAGGTAAAAAATAAAACTTTAAAAACTAACTGAAACTAGAGGCTAATATCTACAACTGTGCATAATAGATTCTCTGGAAACAAAATTTCCCTCCTTAAAATCACCCTCATTTTTCT